CCCATTCCCGACTGTATACGAACAATCGCATACGAATTTCACTGTTTCGTATACGAATTTCACTGTTTCCTATACGACTTCAACAGTTGGTATTATTGAGAGACAGCCGCGATTTTGTATTCGAATTAGTTGAGCTCGCGCGAATCCGTCCATGGTTTCGCGCGCCCTGCGACCCGGGACCCGATTCCCGACTGTATACGATCTTTCGCATACGAATTTCACTGTTTCGTATACGACTTCAACAGTTGGTATTATTGAGAGATCGCCGCGGTTTTGTATTCGAATAATACCATGGGAATTATGTCGCATGGGTCATAGCACGCGAAAGAGATCTCATTCCTATACGAAAGTAACATAAAGTAATCGCTTATTTATGAAGGGGTTGCAGATCGATATAACCACATAGGGAGCGGCAGGAGAACGCGCGTAAATAACGTGCGTATAATGCAGCCCGTGTACGGATTTAAGAGAACGAGAAAATGTTTGTTCGGCCGGACAAAAACTCTGACGTCCGAACCCACCTTTCCGGACATTATCCCTCGCGAGGCCCTTAATCCACCGAAAGCCACGGTCACGTAATCCCATTTGTCGTTACTTCCTAAGTGGGCAACAAACGAACACTTGAAACCCTAATATAACAAATTAGCGAACAAACCGATAACCCCGGAAATTGCCTCGAGACCTTGATGCATCACCTTGAAATAAAACGACCCCGCGACATGGGAATTTCACGTGACATTTTCAAGAAAAGTCCCTATATTTCTCGGCAGGGTCCAAGAAACAAACGTTGAAAAGAAATTCCGCGTGATTTCCAGTAGGGTGTCGTCGCGGAACTGAAACCCACACTCTTGTTCCGCGTGGCCGAAAGTATAGCTCCCCCCAAACGAACGATCGCAATGGGGTCGATTTTCACTTGAAACCCTAACATAACAAATTACCAAACAAACCGATAACCCCGGGAAATGCCCCGAGACCTTGATGCATCACCTTGAAATAAAACGACCCCGTGACATGGGAATTTCACGTGACATTTCCAATAAAAGTTCCTATATTTCTCGGCCAAGAAACAAACGTTGAAAAGAAATTCCGCGTGATTTCCAGAAGGGTGTCATCGCGAACTGAAATCCACTTTCTTGTTCCGCGTGGCCGAAAGTATAGCTCCCCCCAAACGAACGATCGCAATGGGATCGATTTACGATCGGGAGGAGCCGGTGCGCGACCTCTTGGCCGCCCATTGTGCCGTCATCTTCCGCGTGTGGCTTGCATAAATCCGGTCATGGGCTCGCATATCTCGCGGGCTCCCGGCCGACGTGCGACTCGGATGCATCGCGTGCATCGAGCGCATCGAGCGCATCGTGCACCGGTGGTTAAAGGGGACCCCGCGGGCGGAACGTGGCGGCGACCGTCCTTCGGCCGGCATCCCCGCGAGTCCGGGGTGCATCGTACGTCCCATCGTTACCGGGGCGAGGGGGGAGGGACCCTCCACCCGGGGTCGGCGCTCGGACTCGCGTGCGGCCCGGTCCACGGTCGGCGACGGAGTGGACCCGCTCGCGGGTCCGTCTCTCTCGGCGGCTCTCCACGTGGAGGTCCGCCGAGAGGGACGGCGCGCGCTCGCTCCTTGGCCCTGCACTCGTTGTTGCCGGGCGCGGAAATACGTGCGGCGTTGCGACAAATGTCAAGTTTACGTAACGCCGGTTACGTAAGGGGCTCGAGGACGGACGTGCCGTAACGTGGCGCGCCGATTCGCCGGTGCGTGCCGGCGCAGTTTTTCCCGGCCGAGAGGCGCCCACGTGGAGAGCTGGTTCCCGGTCCCGACATCGGCCACCGACCGAAATATCCCGGCGGGAGTCGAGGATCGAATAAACCACGGTCTCGAGTTCTATAAAGATCGGCGAGATATCTTAGATGAAAGCTATCGCGAATCCCCTTATCCGAATTCGATGGTTCCCGAGATACCCGGGGGACCGGGAAGATGCATCGGAGGCGGTCGGCGGACCGACGAGTCGCGACGTTCCGATCTTCGGACCCGGCCAGAAACAATGTCTCTCCCCGGTACTTAACACATTACCGACCGGTAGCCGATTAATCGGCTTTTGTCACCGACGACGAACCCACAAGGAGAGCACCCAGATTAGACCATCCCGGAAGACTGTCGAATTTCGGGAAACATAAACTCATAAATATAGTGACCAGTGGTCGAAGTTTAAAACCCCAAAGACAATGTAGAGTTTGTGCAGTTCATAAAAAAAGGAGTAGAACATCTTTTGAAGTAAATATTGCGAAGTTCCAGTACATAAAGGCGATTGTTTTGAACGATACCATACTTTAAAAAGATATTCACTGTTTCTTATTTGTAGTATAGATTATGGTATTTTATATAAGTATTTGACTGACAACTAAGGTAATACATAAAATAAATATAATTTAGCATTAATATCATGAAAATAAAAGATTTTATTAAATCCAATTATCCTATAATAACAAAAAGCAGACAATTTTACTTGAGCGTACGAAGGGCGCAGACACTCCCGCGCGACAGTCTAAACCGAAACGGAGCCGGTGCCAGGGAGAATCCGTGGCTGAGCGGCCGGTCGGACGGGCGTATGCCGTTCAGCCGCTAGCGGTCGGTAAAGCGTTAATACGGCATATCAGCGTCGAATCGAGAATGCGGCAAAATTAGAAGACTTCCCAGAGATCTAGAGATCTATCCTGGGAAGCGGCGGAATACGAAATTATTAAAGTCCCTCGTCTCTGCACCTGTTCGACCTCGCGTTATAAGACGCACCATGCCTCGCACCAAGAGGTACCAAGTGCGATCAAATTCCCTGGGAGCCCGGGCTTCGATCGAGATCCCCCTCCTCGTCCCCTTTCGGATCGATCGGGCAGAATGGAAGGGACGATCCCGATCGCCGCCTCCGCTCTGCCGGCAAAAGGTGAGGGCGCCGCGCGGCTACTCGGCGGCCCGGAAGTTGCGGAACCCTCCCCTCCGGAAGTCCGGCTCGCGTCCGTCCGTATAGGTCAAGGTCCGCCGAGCGGCATCGCCTCGTGCCCGGTTCCCACGAGAGGTGACCGTGGCGACGCGAAACGGCATCGCGCGGAACTAGAAATAAATCTTAGAGCCGCGCGATCGGATCGCGATCGCGCACACGGATATACCCCGCGTCGCGGCGCGCGCGTGCAGTCAGGGCCGCAGTGACCTTAACTCCCCCCGCGCGCCGCCCCCGCCGCGCGCGGCCGCGGCCGCGAGCCGCGGGGCCGAGGGGGGGCCACGTGCCACCGGTGACGTCACGTATTATGCACCCACCCCGTCGCACCTCGCCCGCGCCGCTGCACCGCGCTCCTCGCGCTACGAGATGCACGCGCGGCCTCCTCTAGCCGGCCGAGCTAGAGCGGAGCCTCCGCACCGAAATCCCCGGCCGTCGCTTCCGGTCCCCCGGGCCTGCTCGCTCCGATGCCCCGCGGTACCTAGGAAGGGCTTTGCGGCGGGTCTTTTGATCGTCGCCCATCCACCGTCCTTCCTTCCCCCTTCCCGGGCCCGGATGTCCCGGCTTTGACCCCGCCGTACCCCCCGCGTGACGGACTTCGTGCAGGTGCGGCGCGGGTACTCGTTCCGGGTGGCGGGCTCAGGGATATCCGGGATTCGGGACCGGCGGTAGGTACCGCTACCACGAGCACTCGGGAAGGACCGAGCGGCTTAACCCCTTAACACTATTTCTACCAAAGGTGTCGAAAGACACCTTTTAAAATTTCACCTTGATATTCTTTTCAAAGTTTAATCATTTCTTCTCAATGAATGTTTTGAGGTTTCGTGTAATAATTGTTGAATTTATTTAGCGGTATCATTTTCCTCCAGCTCGTCGAAACCTTTTGGTCGAAATAGGTGTAGACAAAATCGTGGGAGAAATAGTGTTAACTTGTGCGCTCGAGTTAATTCGAGCGCGCTAAACGGGCCAAACTGTGCACGCTCGAGATAGTTCGAGCGGCCTTGTATTTTATGTTACTATAATTTTTCACCCTCGAATATAATCGAGAATTTTATTTTTTTCCCAAGACAATGTTCTAGGGTTTTTTTTTACGTAAAAAACATTGATTCTTTTTAGCCGGTTTTTTTTTCAAAAATCTCTGCGTTAAGGGGTTAACCACCAGGCCGGAATTTCACGGGTTACGATGTCGTTGATAATTGCCCGATCGATCGGATGGAATTACATGCCGCTTCTGGGTAATCTGCGAGGACCAAGGAGGGCGGGGAGTTGAAAATAATTGGAGCTTCCTTTTGTTCCAGCGACGGGACGGATGCAGGTGGATACAATGGAAGTGCATCGCGGAGGGATCGTAAAACCTTGCGGGTCACCGAGGTCGATCTTGGGATCATCCGAATTGTTGGAGCAGTGGAGGTACGTAAGTATCTCAGTCGGTCCTGTCGGTAAGGAACTAAAGACCTGCTAGGGGACGTCGCAGAGCGCGGAAGGAAATTTTTTGTGACGAGGTGCTCGTTGTGCAATATATTCGCGTTGCGAGACCGATGTGACGTAGATGCACCCACTCCGCCTCGAGGATGATACATCGCGGTATGATGATTCCCACGTGAAAGTACGCAATAGATCCAAGTCGTGACGAACGCGCCGCGAAAATGCGATCGATCGATTCGACCGAGCGAACCATCGCTGGTCATGCGCTGACAGGATTTCGCCATCGATTTTCCTTGAAATTATTAATACGGATCCTCGTTCAACGACCAGCCCCGACGGGTCTTTCCAAGCGAACCATTTATACGCACTTATACGCGCGTCCGTCTAACACGTCAACGAAAGGGATACTTTTCCAACACGGCTCCCCGAGTGGCATCGATCTCGCTATGCAAACGAGGGCGCTTTTCCCAAGAATTTTCTATCTCTCCGGGAATCTTCTGCCCCTACCCCTCATCCCTGCTGCATCGATTTTCAGGCCGGCCTTGAATCTTGGCCAAGGCCGCGGGTCTGGATCGCAAGTACGGTGCTTACCTGGTCGTTCTCGAAGTTCCCGGTGAGCCCATTCTCGATGAGGTCGCGATTCACTTTGGCGCGTATCTGAAAGGGAGGGAAAAACGAGGAATTAGCGCGAGGGCCTTAATTCGGCGTTCCCGTACCTGGTCGGGCTATTTCGGTGGGACCGCGCGTGTCGCGGCCCCGCAGGCTCTAAGATTAGGCCGGAGGGCCAGCCCGATCGTTAAAGGTTCGATGTTGGTCCCGGGGCTTGCGAAAGAACGAAAACCCCCGGTACCCGCGTAATACCTTGGCTCGGTACCAGCTTACGTCACCGGTCGCGTATTCTCGCGAGGACGCGACCAGGGAGGGGAAAAAACCGCCACGTGGGCGTCGCGCGACGACGCGCTTCCTACACGACGACCGACCGATCGACTTTCTTCTCATCTGCATCCTCCGAGTATATTGCGCACCGGTTAACGCGTTACTCGCACGGCCTGCCCTATTTGGGCGCGCGTAACGACTCGGTCGATCGAGCCGCGGTTTCACGGCCATCTCTTCGCCCCGGTGAACGGCGGGCCTCCGCGTCCCCGACCCGACCGATGGTACCGGCACGCCGAAGGTCGCGCAAAGTTCGGAGATATCGACGAAACTTTCGAAAAAGAAAGGACAGTCCCACGCTGACCTCGCCCGCGGGTTACAGCTATTCACCGGCGGAGCTTAATTCCGATACGAATCCTATTTCTCGGTCACGACATGGAACGCGCCTCTTTGTCAACGAATCGATACATGACGTCGAATTAATTGCACTCTATGTACCGGTAACGCGTTAAGGGGTTATTTGCAGTTTTCATAGGCGAAATTCAACAATTTTTTGTCATAACTAAACTCCATATTTTTTTTTAATCGAAAACAGAGCGTGATTTCATAGTATAATTATTGAAGTTAGTATATCATTTTCTTTGTCAGGATATAGTGGCGAGTTTTACCAAAATAGCAGTGAGCTTAATTCCGATACTAATCCTATTTCTCGGTCACGACATGGAACCTCTTTGTCAACGAATCGATACATGACGTCTAATTAATTGCACTCTATGTACCGGTAACGCGTTAAGGGGTTATTTGCAGTTTTCATAGGCGAAATTCAACAATTTTTTGTCATAACTAAACTCCATATTTTTTTTTAATCGAAAACAGAGCGTGATTTCATAGTATAATTATTGAAGTTAATATATTATTTTCTTTGTCAGGATATAGTGGCGAGTTTTACCAAAATAGCAGGGGTTTTACTGAAAAATCACTTTTTTCGGCTTATCACGTTTTCGCTTTTCCTTAATGAAAGAAGAAATTTTCATAGAAATAAAGAATCCTTCGTTCATTCGGTAGTCCCCCGGGTGTAGAATAAGCCTTAAAAATGTTTACTCGATCGGTGAAATATTAATTGAGACATCATGGTCACCGCAAAAGAAAAGACTTTTTCAGAGTATAGCCGTACCTCGGCAATTTTTAAATATATCTGGGGAAGAAAAAAAATTATATATCAAGTTCAATAATTGTACTATGAAGTCACGCACTGTTTTCAATTAAAAAATGTATTAAAAAGAAATGAATAAAATGAATAAAAGAATTCTTGAATCTCGCCCGTGACAACTGCATGTAACCCCTTAAAGCATGCGCGTGGATCGTAGCGGTGAAAAAAAGGGGTTGGAATTTTTTTTTCCGGGTCACGGGCAAATCTCTCAAAAGAAGGTTCCGCGAAAGCGGGTGGAGGGTCAGGGGTAGGATGGACTTCTCCAAGGCACCGGAGTCAAGGTTTTCGAAGAGGAGTCCGAGAGACATCGGCTGGCTCACCTTCTTCTTGCGGGGGTGGTGCTCCTCCAGGTAGTCCGGCACGATTCCCTCGTCGAGGGTGGTGGTCGAGCCGGGGGTGCTGCTGGAGGAGGACCCGGACGCGTTGTAAGGGTAGTGCTGTTGATTATGCGAGGGGTGGGCAGGTGCGGGCCAGAGGGAGCCGGTCGTGGGTGCACCCTCGTCGCTCAAGGGTGGACTCGGAGTTCCGCTGCGCCAGGAGGCGCCGCTGCTGCTGCTGCTGCTGTTGGACGTGCCACTGGCTCCGGGCGACCCGATCACCATCATGCTGCCTCCGCTGATGCCGCCGCCTCCACCACGACCACCCCAAGAGCCTTAAATCGGGAATGAGAAGTCGACACTTAATCTTTGCTCGATATAAAGGTTTCACAAGTGCCGTAAACGGTAGATGGATTTCCCTTGGACGGTACTCAGAGCATCCCCGATTAAAGATACCAAGCGAAGTGGAATATTAAAAAATGCACATCTCTGTATTAAATGAACCAATCGGTTTCGTTCATAGCTTAAAAAATGCAGAAAAATCGTCCACTCTCGATGGCCTCGTTAAAGTTGACTTTACTCATTCGAGAGGTTCAAAAAACAACATTCATTGTCCAATTTGACACGACAGGCTGAACATCGCAGATAATGACTAGGTCTGAGTTTCTTAATTTATAAAATAAATCTTACCGAGTACCCCAAATCGTAAGGAAATGATAAATTTCATGTATCTCACCAGGGAGTTGCCGTTCTTTCATTATTAATGTCACGGTAAATTCGAAGCTTTGCAATGTCGCGCCAGGATTTCCTCAAATTAAGGAAATTAAGATGCACCGAATTTATGGCATATGTCTACGAAACTTATAAATGAAACGTTACGTAGCGAGTGTACCGATTCTTCGGTGTATCGTAAACATTCAGGTCCGAATGAAACATCCGAAAGGGCGTACTGCAAAATCTATTTTTTTTTCTTTTAATCGGCTCATTCGTAGGTAATCAAATGGTAAACCCAAACCTTTTCTGATCGCCATTTATCCACGATTCTTACCCTTTCCAAGCCGCTGTACCCTCCCAATTCCCAATCTAAATTAAGGTGAAGTGAAACCCCCTAAAAAACAGTCGATTCGAATACAACACTTTCTTTTAAGGGTATTAGACTAAACTGTCCAAAACTTTGACACATCACTCCTGGTCATCTAAGAATTGTCCTGACACATTGAAAAATTGGATTTTTCTAAAAAAATTTTTTAACTTAGCCCAGACCAGAACCAAAATGGCGTCGAACTCTCATATTTCGATCGATATACAGTTATCGAAGGCTCTGATATGAGGAACGAAAGGATCAGGACAATTTTACGAGAATTTAGAACACTCTGGTAATCGATAAACTCGCATTTGAACGGGATAAAGGCAAACAAAGTGTTGTATGCGCTTCTATGCCAAAACGATGGGAATACGAGGTCTCGGAGTGAAAATTGAATTGACCTGGAAATCACAGATGGCGCAGGGGGTCCCTCTGCAGTCAATTAGGGCCCCAGAAAGCGTGAATCCAGAGGATTTCTGGAGTTTTACTTCGATTTCTTGATATTTCTTGTACGAAAACGACAGGTGGAGTATGTCATTTGGTACAATATCGAATATAATTCGACCCAGCTGTCAATATAAAAACCAACGTCGACAACGTAGGCATTTAGAAAAATCTTCTTTATCGACGTCGATCGAGTTCCTCGACGTGTTTTACTTCACCTTAATGGCAGATCTCCGGAAGAAAAAATTGGCCCACCGCGAAAAAGGAGTGCACTGGAGTCGAAATGAACACGGGAAAGGGGGTAATCGAGCGCCGCTTAGCATCCTGCGAAGCGATCATTAGCATTATCCATCATCCTAGAGCGTCGCGGGCCGATCAGAGGCCGGCTCTACGCAAAGATGAAAAATTATTCACGCCTATCCACCTGCATTCCCGGCGCGATATCATCGGGCGTGTCGACGCGCGCCCGATGGACGCCGAGAGATGAAGAGGGCCAGGAACGGCCGGAGGCGTACCATCGGCGTCGGAATTTACCGTAACTCCTGCGCCTCCTGTTAACCTCGATGCGCAGGATGATTCCCGGAGTGTCCGGCAGAGAAATGATCGCGTGGCGCAATAAACTCTGCCTCCTCTGCCGGTCGTTTCCCCGCGTGGTAATCTTCGGCCTGCCCTACGTCGCGGGCACGGCAGAGCAGGGAAAGAGATCCGGGAGAAATCTCGAGTGTTTTATCGCATTACGAGGTGCACCTGACGCGATAACGGCAACGCACTCCGTGCCTACGCAACGGCGAGCGTCCTTCGCAACGAGCGCTGTTTACTTTCCGACAATTACGGGGCCCGGCCTCCCGGGCTGCCTTTTCGAGCTTCGTTATTCCCTAGGAAGGTGGCTCCCGATCATTATCCCCGAGATATGTCGCTCTATCGAGGTGTCCGTACCTCCGGCCAACGCGGCCAGGAATGAACGAACGAGAGATGCACCGGAGCAGACTGGGCGCATCTTCCGCGATGCGTCACCGGGTTGACATTTCTTTTTTTTTTTTTATTTGCCCACCAAAAGCAAAGCTACATGTTAAGGGGATGTGAAAGTGGCATCCGAAAGCTCAATCGTTCATAAAACTTTTCATAGAACTGGGTGTCTCAAATTGTTTCATACTTTAAAACGTGAATATGGAGACCCTAAGGTAGGTCCTGAAACTCGCAAAATTTCATTTTTTAAATACCTGTAAACAAATTGGAAAAAAATTTTAATTTCATGAGTTTCAAGACCTTCCTTATAGTTTTCCTATTCATGTTGTAAAGTCTCAAACTAATCAGTAAACCGAGTTGGGAGAAAAGTTTTATAAACAAAACCTCTTCGACGCCACTTTCACATCACCTTAAATTGGCATGGGCTACGGTAAATAAAGTACAGCTAAAAATGCCAGAATTAGTAGGTTACTTCAACTTTATTATATCGTTAAACGCGCCCTTAATATTGTTCCGGTTGAGTATCAGATATATCTAGTTAAATATTATCCGGTTGCGTTGACACTTTTTTATTTTTTCGCGTAAATTCCAAGAGAATTTCTTGAGACGCGGACGAGAAATTTTCAACCAGAAATTCATCCTTTGAGAATCTGATCGAGATAATCGGTTATTGAACCAGACTTTGGTAATCAGAATTTTCTAGTCGTAATGAGACTTTCTCATCGATGATAACTAGACGTTTTTTTAAATAAGACCAAGGTAGCAGTGATTTTTTTGTTTTAACATCAATTCGAGATTATAAACAGGGTATAAGGTATTTCATCGAATTCCATTTCCATAAGACCATAAAGCAACGCTAAGCATGCCGACATACATTAAATGGTCGTGCATTCGACGTTTAATTTCTCCCGTCATCGGGAAAGAAAGTGCCCCCGACTAATCGGTACCAATCATCAGGTGCAGCAGAATTGAGTCGTCCGAGTGAATGGCCAAATGGCACCCGGCTTAATCGTAATCGATCCCGGAATCAATTTAGCAGGGAACTGCATCCGGGTTGTCGAACCTTCGCTCGCGTCGAGGTGTCGAGAAAGGTCGAACGAAAATCGATAGCAGAGGGATCGATAACAGAAGAGGAATGAATAACAGATGCGGCGAAAAGGCCCGATCGAATCCGCGGCTGGAATTCACGAAAATTCCTTGGCTCGGCTTGTAACGGGTAATCGACCTAAATACGAAACGGGTAAAACGCATTAGTTCCCGCTGGTTGAGCCGGCACGATCGATCTCCTGATCGGCCGATCGGCCGATCGGCCGATCGAAGCGACAGGCCGAGTGCGCATGCGTGGACAGAGCCGGCCTTGGATGTGACGCAGCCTCTCTCTTATCCCTTCACCCCTGCCCCTCTCTCGATCTCCCTCGCGGTCCATCAGCTGGTCTTCCCCACCTCTTCGACGAAAAGATCCGACCTCTGCCGCAAAATACTGACGAGTGTCTCTTACCGCGAAGAGGCAGGGGGCGAAAACCCGGGAAAAACACAGCAAAGGAAGAGGCAAGAAGCACGAAGTCGTAAAGAGCGAATCGCCTACACCGAGAGAGGAGGAATCTCGTCCTCGTAAGAAGGCCGCTTCGGTTAGGAATTTGTTTAGTGCACCGAACCGTTCCCTTACCCCGACAGGATGGATATTTGCGCCGGCACTTTTTGAGCAACATTTTTAGGAATAATAAACATTTTAATTTGACCTTCGTCCCGAGACCCCAGCTGGTCTCTTTCTCTCCTTGCGAAGAAAACAAACCGCGAGGACGGGAAGAGGAAGTGACGAAAAAGAAAGGAGAAAGGAAAAAAAAAGAAAAAGGTCGCGCCGAGGAACAAGAAACTACTCGTCCGCGTGGAGATTTGTAATCCGTTCTCGCGAGATGTATTTCATTGGCCTATTTTCTTATATCAATTATCTCGGATTTTCGCGTCTTCTTAAAATGGCGTCCCGGATGAATATCCTTTTTAGTCTCAGAGAGATGAACGATGGGAGACAGAATCTGGGAGTATGCTGATGTAGAGACCGCGACCGTTTCATCTCCATTTGTAGTATCGGTCGGTGTTATTTTTTGCGGGGAACGAGAAGAGGGCAAAAACGTGATTACGGGGGGAAGGAGGAGACGCGAGGGGCGACGATTCGCCTAGAAATCCTCCTCGCACCTGGACTTCGCCGTTCGCTTTCTAAAAAGCCGTTCCATCGCCCGAGTAAGAGTTCCTCGGGCGGCGATCCAATTGGCAATCGTCGGAAATTCGACGATTATTCACAACGCGGATCAGTTTAGCGGGGCCCCTTTCCCGCCTGGCGAGGCGGCCGCCATCTTGGATTGCGCTCGCCGCCACGAAACTGCGCGACAGAAAATCCCTCGAGGATGCAACAGTAATCGCAGTGAATATACCGATAACAATAGCCGATCGTAACGAAACGAGCGATAAATTAGCGAAGCGACGCGCGTTCGCCGCATCGGCAGGAAGGAGTAATCGCGGCTAAGAGTCAGAGTGCACCTCGCGAAGGATAAAGACGCGTCGTAAGAAAACCCGACGATGGCGGAAGGAGCGAGCGGATAATGGCGAGATTGGCTGCTAACCGTGTAAAAATAAAAACTAAAGGCGCACGCGTATACGAAGGGTGCCAAAGGATGGGCCGATAGATCCTCCCGTCGCGCCCCAAATTCTGGTGACGTCGTTAATCCACGTTGACGATGCATTTTTAACCTTGTAAAAAATACGCCGCTTCGTTTAACGTCCTTTGACGACGTGACGTTACGACGGCGCGTCCACCCCCGACGTTCGATGGCGTTTACAGGGACACCCTGGAATTAATTAAGGCTGGCCGCGTATTGCGCCGTATCGTACGCCGTGTAACGAGCTTTTCCTCCTCGTGGTACGCATCGCGGACCGGAATCGACGACTTTGGACGACAACCTCGACCGAGGGACATCTCAGGGATTCCGGCGGGCGCGCCGATGATAACGATCCTGCGTAAAGTCCAAAGCGGAGCGAATTATCGGCTCGCCGGTCCGATTGCTCAGCCGGGAGTGCGTCACGTCCACGGGAGGCCGCATTCCCGGGATCTTTCGGGAACTTTGAACGTGCATTACGGATCGTGGAACAAAGACCTCGGGGCTCGACGACGCCTGGCGTGCCGATGAATCAGGGGACTCTCGGCTCGACGCGCTCGAAAACGGGCAAACCCCCGGAGGAGAGTTCGGCGCGCGATAACCGGCCAACGGTCTCCGGATATCGACGGCATTTTCCCTCCGGAGGTATTTCCCTGGGACTTCGTAAGGGCCTGAAAAGATATCCGCGACGTGCCGGACATTTCATTTATGAGGGAACGGTTACGATACTCGTCGTCCTTGGCGACTTTTCCCGAGAAGCTTCCAGGCTAGCCTACGACTTTTATGTCTCTCATAATTTATACTTTTAGATCTTCTTGGACAGAGCGAAGTAAGTAATTAATTAACGGAGGTAAATAATAACCGATCGAAAAGTAGAGGCCCTCGAGAGGGGAACCGCGACGCTTGAAAGATATCGGTTTCAAGACCTATATCCTACAAGGAAGGTACCTGAGGTGTCCCCCTCCGACTTTGTTCATTTTTAAATATGTTATAGAGGACTAAAATCTAAGGGACTCGTGTTTTTTTTTTTTTTTTATCGGCGGATAAACACTTTTAGGGGGTGAAATCAGGGTTCAAAGTTGGCCGTTGCATATAGAAGTACTCGACCGATTTTCATGAAACAACCGTCAAAATGTAGGGAATGAAGAATTATGAAACATGCATTTGGAATTTTTCGAAAAAATTTATTTATAAGGGGTGAGCCACCCCTTTTAATACTTCTTTTACCCCTTACGCGAGCAGTAATTGTTCTACCCAAATGAAACTTTTTTTGTATTGTTCTGGTCTATAAATTAACCAAGTTTCATTTGGATAGAGCAATTATTGCTCGCATAAGGGGTAAAAGAAGTATTCAAAGGGGTGGCTCACCCCTTGAAAATGAATTTTTTCGAAAAATTCCAAATGCATGTTTCATAATTCTTCATTCCCTAGATTTTGTCGGTTGTTTCATGAAAATCGGTCGAGTGCTTCTATATGCAACGGCCAACTGTGAACCCTGATTTCACCCCTTAAAAGTGTTTATCCGCCGATAAAAAAAAAAACACGAGTCCCTTAGATTTTAGTCCTCTATAACATATTTAAAAATGAACAAAATCAGAGGGGGACACCTCAGGTACCTTCCTTGTTAGTAGCTGATCGAATTCATCGCCTCCGTGACTCTTTGCCCGCGCGTAAAAAGGAGCGCCATGCAAATACGGTTGAATAATTAAGATAAAGCTAAGTGCTTAATTATCCAGGCGCAAGGCACGTCCGTCAGATTTCCGAGACTGACGCGGAATTTCCACCACCATCCGTATTCCCATATGGCCGTATCGGGGACCCTCCTCGATGTGCATTTCTCTCCTTATGCGTATTGTTTCTATCGGCGGCGCGATCTGGCTTTGGGAAAGCAGCGCCGAGGCAAGGCGTTAGAACGTGACCGAATTGTCGATTATTCCCTCGTTAGGATAGGGCGGAAGAGGCCGCGGTGGCTCAGCCAAAGTGATACTGACCATAATTGTGCTGGCAATGAAGTGGCAAAGGGTTATGAGGACTGTGCGGCGAGCAAGAGAGCGACATGAGAACGAGGGCAGCCGTGCACTCGTCCATACAGTCGCCGCGCTCGTTGGTGCGACACCCCTCACGACCGCAGCCATGAGGCACCCTTTCACTCCACCCACTGTACGACCGCTCCGAGTCGTTGCTCGAGCTGGGTCGTCGCTTCCTGGATCTGGAACAGACAGGACTACTTATCACTTATTTGGAAGTATCTTTTAATAGCATAGGTGCATACAATAACGGGTCCCTTTAAGGTGAAGTGAAACCCCCTTCAAATCAGTCGATTCGAATACAACACTTCTTTTTAAGGGTAAAAGACCAAACTGTCCGAAACTTTGACACATCACTCCTGATCATCTAAGAATTGTCCTGACACATTGAAAGTTTGGATTTTTCAACAAAATTTTTTCACTCAGCCCAGACAAGAACCAAAATGGCGTCGAGCTCTCATATTTCGATCAATATACAATTATCGAAGGCTCTAATATGAGAATCGAAAGGGTCAGGACAATTTTACGAGAATTTAGAACACTCTGGTAATCGATAAACTCGCATTTGAACGAGATAAAGGCAAATAAAGTGTTGTATGCGCTTCTATGTCAAAACGATGGGAATACGAGGTCTCGGAGTGAAAATTTAATTGACCTGGAAATCACACCAGAGAATTTCTGGAGTTTTACTTCGATTTCTTTATAATTATTATACGAAAACGACAGGTGGAGTATGCCATTTGGGACAATACCCATAATAATTCGATACAGCTGTCAATGTAAAAACGAACGTAGGCATTTAGAAAAATCTTCTTTAACGACGTTGATCAAGTTCCTCGACGTGTTTCACTTCACCTTAAACGCATTACATATTACATGCGCGCGCAAGAAATTAATCGACGAAAAAAGAATACGAGAGTATCAACTTTGTCAAAATTCGACACAGAGAGACATATATATATATACAATAGTCTGCGATTTACTGGGGTTTGGAGCCCCACCCTCAAACTAGTCCGGTTAAAATAACCAGAATTCTGGTTACTTTACCTGGATAATATTGTTAAACCTGCCCTTACCGGGACTTTTTTGTTAATTTAAGAAAGGAGAGGATATGTATGGCTAATCTTTACGGCAGTGCGATAGAGAGACGAACGCAGACGATCGACGTAAATAATATTACAATCCGCGGTAGTTGAAATCAGATCCTAGGGAATCGTTCGATTAACGGACTGAAAAGAGTCAAGGTAGAAGAACCAGAATTCCCGGTTATCTTATCTGGCTTGGATTGCCAATCATGCCTTCGTACTATTTCTCCGTTTAAAACTCATTAACCAATGACATCTGTATTATTTATTCAGAGCCCTGTAGTACCCTGGTGACATCTATGATTTTCATTTTTTTACCTTCTACTCAACCTACCTTCTTCTGTTTATTTAAAATTTTCATACGTCTTAATCATACAAATTTGAAATAACCTGTAATAGCGGTAATCGCTTTAATAATAGAGAATGTAACAAACTTTGGGAATAAATAATTACTAGAAAGTGTTTTTATTTCTGTACGAAAGAAACCCAGGACATTCAATGCGTTCCTTATTATAAGAGAAGGAAAATTAGTTCTCATTTCGTTCCCAATAACGTATTCCTTTTGTAAATATATTTTAAAGTTGCGTATAAATTATCATCGTTATCATCGAATAAAAATACAACGAAACACCTTAGGAAGGTATATTTATGTACATATATAGATATATGTAAGTTGGTAAGTAGAATGTAAATAACATTGCTATGGGTTATGTTTCTTTGAAATTCATAGATTATTATAAAAGAAAAATTTTTAATTTATCTCATTATTATTCATATTTGTTCATATTACGAACCCGATCGATTTGAAAATAATGATTTCAAATCATATTGTATCAACTTAAAATTTATAATTGATAAGAAATGATAGTAACTAAATTAAAAAGTTAGAATTTTACAGAAATTATTATATCTGTGAGATTTTCAGCTAATAAGTTACCTAACCTTATTAACTGCAAAATTTACAGTAATATTAGGTCATTTTTTCTTAAATAACAGTTTCTGAATTTCATTGAATTTAAATTTATGGCGGGAAATTTGCTAGTTCATACTTCCGGTACCATTGATCCAGAGGTCGCTGCAAACACTAGTCTCGAAGAATAACATGCGAGTGTCAGCCCCCTGGCTGCATCCGAGATAGGCGCATGCGTGGACGCGCGAACGACCCCGCCGCAGCACCGAAGTTAGGTTAGGGTTTTCGTCACGTATCGGCGCTCACGTCGCCTGTGACACACTTACTCGTTCTTTGTTATGCTTCGCCGCTCGGCCGCACGACCGGCCACTTCCCTTCCCTCTTCGATCTCTTTACTCTTTACTCTTTACTCTTTACTCCTCGGCCGAGCCACTTCCTCGCGGAGTGGAGTGAGCGCCGATTCGCGGTCGCCAGACGAGACCGGAGAGATGTATATAAAGCTGGAATTGCCACTTTAGCACAATTCAATAAAATTTGTTGCAAAATTAATTGCTAATTCATTGCTATTTTATTGCACAAGAGAAAATTTTTTTGCTCTTATACCTTTTCCGAAAAATGGTGGCGATGTCAGCTTTATATAAAGCTAACACTGCCACAATAAAAAACAATTATTGAGTAAATGTTCATCGATGAATTATATACCAGAATTTATTGCTAATTAATTGCTGGCGGAAAAACCACATTTCAATTTTTTTGCTCACCCCTAAAGGGTGTGAATCGCCACCCCTAGTGATGATCGCAGGACAGAAACATGAAAAATATGGAGCATCGAACTATTTCTTCACGTGGAAATTAATTGCTCCGAGATGAACCAATATCTTTGTAAAAATACAATTTTCAAACCTACATTAATTAGTGATTAATTTCCACGTGAAGAAATAGTTCGATTCTCCCATATTTTTCATCTTTCTGTCCTGCGATCAGCACAAGGGTTGGCGATTCACCCCTTTAGGGGTGAGCCAAAAAGTTGAAATTTGGTTTCTCTGCGAGCAACTAATTAGCAATAAATTCTTTCATATAATTCGTCGATGAACATTTACTTAATAATTGTTTTTTATTGTGGCAGTGCTAGCTTTATATAAAGCTGACATCGCCACCATTTTTCGGAAAAGTATAGGAGCAACAAATTTCTTTCTTGTGCAATAAAATAGCAATGAATTAGCAATAAATTTTGCAACAAATTTTATTGAATTATGCTAAAGTGGCAATTCCAGCTTTATATACATACCGGAGAAGTCGGATCGGCCTCGCGACCCTCCACGAGTCACGACCGAGAGCGACCAAGAAATGAAGAGCCTCAGAACGGAGACGATGCATCATCGAGAGCCCTCTCACCGACCAGGAACGCCGGCTTCGATCTCCGAGTTTATCGCGGCTTATCGCGTTCACTTTCACCCCGGGTTACCTCTCCCCCGACGTTACGTCCTCCGGCTTCGATCGGATATTTCTACCGTCCCTGATTTCATCCTGGTGTCTCTCAATCCCCTCGATTCACCTTTCGCGGGGCGATTCTCCGAACACAGCTGATCTTTGCTTCCTAGTACGTTGTTAACGGCGTTCACCACCAAGTGGGGACGATGACTTCCACCGCTAGATGGCATTAGCATCGAATTCGGTGGGAGGTAACCAAAACGTACTTTCTCGCTCGGATGAGGGAGACGCGACGCATAATGGGCAGTGTTTAGCAACGGACGAAAAATGTGAGCGTATTTTGCACGTATACAACTCACACAACGGCTAGACGCCTCTGGACTAGGCGCCGAAACGTGTGTGACACTCGGCCGCACGCACACGCAAGTTGGACGCTCCGCCTAGAGTCGGCAACGGTTGCTAAGGAATGCCCAAATTCCTCGCGAGAAACTTGAAAATCCTGAAAAAGGTGCTCCACGGGGACAACGATTTTGAGCGTATTTCTCAACCGATTGAGCTCAACGAGTGCTCGTTTTAAAGATAAAATGTTGACGTGTGTTTATATGGGAGCGATTTTCGATCGAGCACCTCCTTCCTAGGTAAAAGGGCATTGAAATTATGTCGTTGCACTTTTTTATATGAAAATGACCACTTATCGAAAATCGCTCCCATATAAACACAGGTCAACATTTCATCTTCGATATGAGCACGCGTTAAGCTCGATCGGTTTAGAAATACGTTCGGAATCGTTGTCCCCGTGAGGCCCTGCAAAATCGCTGGAGTGGTGAGCGCCCTTAAGAATTTTATTTATCTATATTCTGTTCACGTTCGATGATATTTTTCAGAGACGATAGAAGGGAACTCCGGGCATCTTGTCTCGTAGCTGTTAATCGGCATCCTCCCCTCTATACTTTCGAACGCTTTTCCGAATTACCATACAAGGAGACGGTGCGATAACGTTCGCGGGTTCCGCCATTAATTCGGAGTAGCTCTCGGTACTCGTGATCCGTGTAACCGTGCAACGGGGCCTACTTTATCCGTTTTTGCGACCCACTTCACGCGGCACGCGAGTACGCACCTCCGTGCGAATAAAGGACGCCGATCACGATCCACGCCGAGGACTTTGGCAGTTCCTCGCATTCTTCGTCGTCGCCGTGAAGGGACCCTCCCAAGGATCCGTCATTTTCGACGGTTCTCAGCGGACCGCCTAAAAACGTATGATTTACGGTTAGACCAGACCGGCTCGGTTTAAAGAGAGTTAAGCGCCGTCCTTCCAACGACTTGAAAGAGGGGAAAAAAAAAGCCTCGAGAAAGTAACCTCGATCGTTCCGAAAGTCCATCGAATCGGCGAGACGCAATCGGGAACTCTTTCCCTCGAGATGCGCTTTTGCATCTCGGGTCCTTCTAACCTAAGTACTCGAGGTGACCGAAGGAATCGAAAGGACATTTTGCAAGGAAAAAAAGGAAAAAAAACAAGAACGATAACCCAATCACCATCGATCATTCAGCTCCTACTATAAGTAATCGCTGTCAATCAGGATATGAAGTGCTTCTTCAATGTCACTAGACTTTTATCTTGAGTCACGGTATTTCTTGAAACATTCCTTGAGCAGGAATGAAACCCCGCCATGTGAAGGTCAACCGATACTTACGTTATCTACGTTATTCCGTGTTTCTATCTCTTGGTTAAACGGTACAATTTTTGTTAGAAAAATGTCGGATACCGGCAGGA